ATAACACGAGGACGTCCACCCACAAGCAGGGCTGACGACATCATAGGTAACAGGAAGGCGCTGGACGCAGGCCGCTACCAACCGGGCAACGTGGAAAGCATTGTGGGAGGCCTATGTTCAGCAGTGGACGTCCTATGGCTGAGATGATGATGAATGATGATGATGAATGATGACTACAACCTGATCGAGCCAACTGTGCACCTCGCTGGAATGTGACCAGTGACTCTCCCTCGCACTTACTGCACATCTCCCCGCGTTCGCCAAATTGAATCAGTAGCTACCTTTATCAGGTCGTCGGTCCACCTTGTGGGTGGACGTTCCACACTGCGTTTTCGAGTACGTGGCCTCCACTCCAGAACCTTGCTGCCCCATCGGCCCTCAGTTCTGCGTAGTATGTGCCCTGCCCATTGCCACTTCAGCTTGCTGATCCGTCGGGCTATGTCAGTGACTTTAGTTAGTTTACGTATCTCCTCATTTCTGATTTGATCTCGTAAAGAAACACCGAGCATAGCCCTTTCCATAGCACGCTGTGCAACTTTGAGATTCTTTATGAGGCCTATGATGAGAGGCCACGTTACTTCCCATGAAAGTCAGAAACGACAAACATATTACATACCTACGTAGGTATATGTATACAAAAAAGGTAGTTTAACCAATTTGCCAATTAGCCAAACGTTGAAGGACAGATTGTGATCTTTGCGCATATTATTACGTTTAATGTAGCTTGTGATCTTTGTACACATTCGTACATTTTGTGTGCCCAATTAAAATGAAAATCTTGTTACGTAATTTAAAAAATAATTCTTCGTGGAGTCCCACGGATTGTACTTCAAAGTTTTCTTTTGTTTACTTGAGTGACAAATATCTTAATGGGAATAGAAGTTTGAGCACCTTTGGCTAGTCCACATTAAGTTTTCGGTGATGCCTTTACCACGCGACAAGGCTGGCGTTGACGTCACGAGCGATTGAGGTCGCGTGGCGGGATTGCGCCATGCATGTTCTATTATTGGGGGAATATGGACACGACACTTAACGAAGTGGTTACAAGTCACTCTGGGGGAATGTGCGTACATAATGGACACGACATCTTTTTTTTATGCAAAACAAGGCAGGTATTTGACCACAATCGCACCTGGTGTCAAGTGGGATGCAGTCTAGGATGGTACATATCTGCCCTGTAAGCCGTCACCTTCAAAAATCATTATAGTCTTCGGGAAAGACGGTAGCAAGCAGCGAATTCCAGTCCCTAGCTGTTCGCATTAAGAGTCATCGAAACGCTTAGTGGCTGGTGGAAAGTCGACATCTGCCTACTCACAAGGTCGACAGATGTCCTTTAAAGGTTGCAGGAAGCTGCTGAAGCAGGCCGCTTTTAATGGTAGATGTCTGAAATAATGATGATGATGGCACAGGGCTGAAATGACGATGATGATACGAATAGCAAGTCACTCTCTTTTAACTAGACGAATCATGCCTCTCGTTCCCATTACTGTAACTCATTTACAAGAAGTTTGGCCTCGTTGAGTAGTCCCGGGGGTAGGGTTACCAGGTATCCGGCTTTAGCCGTACATGTTTGACTTTTTACGGTCTTGTCCGGCCTGTCCGGCTTTTTATTTGGTTGCCGCGCCAGGCGAAAGACAAGCCACAGAATAATATGAATATGAAGCGCACGCATCAGGACGTTGGGCAACCGATGATAATAGTACTCACTCGTGNCCCGGTTACTTGTCCGGATTTTAGGGTAAAATGTTCGGCGAAATGAAGCACGGAGTCCGGCTTTTGTGTTTCGGCCAAATGAAGCACGGAGTCCGGCTTTTGTTTTTGGACCTTGCAACCCTACCCGGGGGATGTTTTGTAACCCGCTACGAATTTATTACGAATTTTTCTACGAAGGTATTTTTTCAAGCAATCAATTAGGTATGAGTGTGATGCATCGATGAATTTAATTGGCAATATTTTACTGTCATTATCATCATCAATCTCTTTAACACCGTTTTTATGGCGATATTTTTATGGCAAAGTAATAAATGGACTGATTACTGTTCCTACTTTCTAAGTAGTATTTTCAGTATATTTTCCAAAGTTTTCACCTGACTTGAGCAGCGTCGAAGTCACGGCCACGGTCCTTTCCAGCCGATTAACTATTCCGTTTCAACGGACTACTACGCTTGACTCGCGATTTGTTCGTAGATATTTTTTAAGTTTTTGTAGCATGGATAAGAAAGCGATTAAAGATTGCTAGCTTCTGCCCACAGCTTCGCTCACGTAAATTTCTGTCATGCAATAGCCTCATCGTCCAGTCCCCATAAAATTCTAAGGTTTTCTCCGTCAGTAATTTTAGCTAATCTTTTTGTCCAAAGTGCCACTTTTTGCGTGAATTTGTTATGGACAATCTTTAGAAAAGTACCCAAAGGTCTTACGCATCTGTAATAGTAAGTTCGAGTAGTAACAAAGATTCACAAATTTTACGATGTTTAGAAGATCGAATAAGTAAGAAAGAAGAAAAACATACTCGATTAAGGATTTTATAATTATTAAATTACTTTTCATCTGAGACCCAAACCGTATATGGTGGTAGATTTTCCAATCCCATAATTTTAGATACCACATCCATATATTTTACCTCCACGGCAGTAAAGGTAGCCGCACACTGCACGTACTTGTGTAATGAGCAGAACACGCCTCCCATACTGATTGCCCGCTGATGCGGTACTTGCTGATAACACGGTGTTTTTTTCTATGGCAAAACACATAAACAAGCGGAATAATTATTCCTGGTAGTTTAGGTACGTGCTTATACATATTGTAGCTTTAGTTAGATGATAGTTTAAATAGTTTGGAATCTAAATATTGTTTTTTTTTAGGAAGCAGTCATTACTAATATTTTTTGTAGTGCTATCTGGTCCTAAACCAAGCAAAGTCTAAATGGAGGCACATCAAGCTTAGCACTGTGATGTCTTATCTAGTCAGGTCGTTTTAATCAGGTGATAAAACGCAATAAACATTAATGTTAATGATCTCTTACTTAAAGTAATTGAACGCATGGGCAAGAACGTTATTACCAATTATATTTTTCTATAGTTATAGAATTATAAATTGAAACAATACTTATGTTAGTTAAAGGGATTGATATATTAGAATAATATTACTCTTATCAACACCATTAAACTAGATGTGAATAAGAAAACAAACCTTGGATCTAATACTCGATGATCTAGTTCGATCAACCAATCCATTCATAAAAATTCGTGGGCGCTTTTCATCTTAAAGTAAACATCTTCAGCAAATGTGGAGCTGATTGACTTTGACCTAGATTTTCCTTTTATCTCTATCTAGAAGTTTCAAAGCTAGTTTCTGCATTCTTTTACGAATTAAATTATGTAATCCAAGAAGCAAAGGCTGCAGCTTTATAAAGCACAGATCCGACCTTGCATGGAATACTGCTGCCACCTCTGGGACGGCTCTGCCAAGAAACATTTGGCTGCTTTGGATTCGGTGGAAAGGCGTGCCAGAAGACTTATCGACAGCCCTACCCTTGTTGAAGCGGCGCTCCAGGAACTTGACCATCGCCGTAAGGTAGCATCCCTATCGGTTTTCTACAGGCTACACTTCGGAGAATGTGCGAAAGAATTACATGAATTAATTCCACCAGCCCCCTTCCATCATCGGGGAACCAGACGCAGGTTAGCGTACCATCCCTATATTGTTGACATTCCACCAGCTCGCACTAAGCGTTTCGATGACTCTTTTATAATGCGAACAGCTAGGGACTGGAATTCGTTGCCTGCTGCTGTCTTTCCCGAAAACTATAATCCGGGCCTTTTCAAGGCGAGAGTGAATAGGCACTTACAGGGAAGATATGTACCATCCTAGACCGCATCCCACTTAACATCAGGTGCGATTGTGGTCAAATACCTTGCCTTGTTATGCATAAAAAAAAAAAAACTTTTTATTAACATTAGTCATTGCAGAATGTAGTTCTCATTATTTAATTCTTTTTGTTTCAAATATTACACAAAACTTCAATATCGTTGGAGTCATTTCTTATGCAAAACGTCATGTAGTTCAAATTTACCCATATTTCACTTAAATGCAAAACACTGGTTTTTTCCTGGGACTATCCAAACTATGGATTACATCATTGATAATCTTGATGATGTTCATAATGATTTGTATATTTTGAAAATGCCAATTCCCAAAAGCAAATCCCAACCGATGGAATTCCAAAATTATGCTATTCTTTCTGACAAACATCGTAATGAAATCAAAGACCTTGGAACGGTAAATTATTCTAATTCTGTTTGCTTACAAGATTCGAATGGCGAAGACACTTTTCAAAATAAGCCTGTTGCATGGTTCATTTGCGTTTCAACGAGTTGTTTGTGAGCGAGATTATTTGTAAACAGTTCACACGGGAAAGGCTTTCCATTCAGTTACCCGATTAGTTCTAAGAAAACATGATCCTTGATTGAAGATAACACGAGTTATGTAATTAAATTGAAGCAGGAAATTATTAATAGTTATGTCAATCAAACATAATTAAATGCAGTCGAAATTATAAATTTAATACGGTATTGACATGGTACATGGTACATGGTACATGGTACAATTAAATGTCAGTGATTTACGTTGATGATTACAAATTGTCTTGTTCATGTAATTGTCAAATGATGCACAACGTTGAATACATCTCTTTCAAAATTATTCTGCATCATGCGATCACAAACATTATTCAATAAATCTGCAGGATAGACGCGTACCACTCATGCAGGTTGCTGTTTTCCTTAAATGACGTACGAAAAAGATTTTATTTACATGGATTAGGGAATTTGAATTTCGACCGACTATTGTTCTTTCTTTAGTCCTTTGGAGATTGCGGAATAAACTGGACACGTCTGCAGCAAACCGAAGGTAGTTAGTTCAAAATTAAGTACCTAGCGTAAATAAAGAAGGAAACATTAGCTAAAGAAAAATTGTAAATACCTAATTGTTCTTTGTTTCAGATCGCTTGGAGATGGTGAGCAACTGAATCAGATAAAAACAAGTCTTCACAACAGGTTTGTTTACGTTTAATTCACTTCACACGTCATTGCATTATAGTGTCATCAATAAATCAATGTCACCTATATTATCCTCATGGTTTATGTTGTTTTTTTCAGAAACAATGCCTCGTCTAGAACAATCGCCGCCGGAGGATTTCCGTAGGGTCCTGCGCGAGAAAGCGCTCAGCCACAGTCTGTTTTATCTGAAACTCGGCGCAGGAGTGTCGCCGCAGCACGCGCGGGAGTCGCAAGCGCGCAGGATGAGCGGCAGTGCGGTTGCGCGCGCGCCGCCGGCTGGCCGCGTCACACGGCATGCGCAGCCCCGCGTTTCCGAGCTCTTGCGGCGCTTCGAACCCGGACCCATGCAGTATCTCCGCCCGCCGCGGGCCACGTCTCCTCCCGAGGACATCTCATCATCAGATGACGACGACAGAGCCGCTGTCAGGCGGCGAAGCCGTGACTTGAGCGACGACTCCGCTGTGGAGTTGGAGACGCGGCTGCGAAGGCATTCCCATCCGAGGGACATCACTCCGCCTCCTGACGCCATGTCCCCGAGACGGGAGAGGACTCTGATTGAGGCTCACGTGGTGGAGTTGGGACGGAGGGGGAGTGAGGGGTGTGAGACCAGAGGGCGATGCGTGAGGACGCCCAGCGTGGTCGTCAGCGACTACTCCGACGGCGTGGCCGTCGGTGCTACTCAAGAAGAAGTGGACTGGCTGCGATCCAGGTCCCTGTCAGCCGACTCCGCCTGTTCCTCGTGCTCCACGTTATCCAGTCGCGACGATGAGGAGTTCGAGTCCCCGACTATGCCAAAAAAGGTCAGTTTTCTCTTGTGTATTTTGGTTTTAATGATATCGTTTAGTATGTTTAGCTAAGATTGTTGATGCAGTTTTACTGAAGTAGAAATTAACCAATTAGTAGTTATAATTAAATGTTACCGTCTGATTTCATTTCGTAATTTATAAATTTATTAAATGTGCTGCTAAGTATAATTCCATTACTATAGTAATACATACAACGAATAATTCTACTATTTGGATGCTAATCTCTTCAAATACACATTGACATCGGTTTGAATATTTACTGTCAGAAGTAAATTAGCAAAAGCTTTTACGTCATTAAAGAGCGTTACCTACGTCAATGGAATGAAATGCGCTCTCTTCGTCGTGATTGTTAATATTATTATTGTTAGTTATAATACGATCGATAACGAAAATAAACATAGCTATTGAGAATGTTAGTTTTATGAAAGCTACAAATTATTGATATTTATCATCTTTAGTTTTGTTATGAGATTAACGGTCGGTCTTAAATTCGTGTTTGTTGTTCTATTAACATAATTTATAATTATTATTTATTAAACTATTAATGACCTGTTAGTTGTGATCAGCAATAGCATTATCTATTGGATTAGGTATCTTTGCATGATTATCATTAGGTTCAAATTCTTTTCTATTTTCGTTAATGTACCAATCGTGCAGTTTTACTAATTTTGGATATTATTCGCCTGTATCATCATCGTCTGTCATTCAAATTGGAAGCTTATTCACTTAAACAGTACGTTTATTTTCTATTTTTGGTAGCCATTTACTGAAATTTTACTCTATATTACCCTATTTCCTAGTCACGCACCAGAAGCGTGTTTTTTTTTGCTCATCAACGGACAGTCGACCACGAATATATTACAAAAATTGTCTCTGTGCTTTAAGAGATACGAGTTAAGTTTGTTTGGCTTTGTTCTTTCGTTTTGTTAGCTGACTGTACACAGTATTCTATGACGGTATTGTTTAAACGAACTCATTGGTTAAATTGTCTCAGCACAAATTAACCTCGTGTTACTTATTGTATTGATTCACTTATACTGTTTGCGTTATTATAGGATATACGTCAAACTAGTTAAGACCAAAATATAATGGAGCTAAATCTGAAGCTATGGATCATTTAGATCGCTGACTATTAGTTGAAGAACCAGCTAGTGTTTATTTATTACAATGGGTTATGATTTTTCTCCAACTACTTACTTATTTGTATGTTAAACTTGTTATTTGCAGAAAATACCAACTAAATACTAGCTTGAAAGGAAAAAAATATACTGCTATTGAATTTTTGGTGATGTCAGTATGTAATTATTACTCTGATATTTAAATTTTTGTGATGTCAGAAAATCTTTACGTACCTACTTGGTATTCCTTATACGTAATATCGTCCCATCGAAAGGTAAAACATTCATTAAAATTTCCCAAGAAGTAGAAGGATAATAGTCTTCAATCGTTTGGTTAATGTGTCTCATAATTAGCAGGATATTTAAACTAATAAAATAGTGTACAAACACAGGATGTTTCACAGCAAAAATTCCATTACATCACTATAATAATATGATAATTGTTATCGGTTGATGCTCTGTCAACTGTATCCTGGTTTTGACCAGATAAGGTCACATTCAAACTTGACCTTTAACCTTGCGCAATACGGTTTAAAATAATTCTGCTCCTATAGAAGGATTATTTTCTAGGAATTATCAATCTCCTTGTGTTGCCAATGTCTATGAGAGATGATGGCCATTCTACATCAGTTGATAGATTATTTATTATGGGTAAAAATGCGATATTTACGAATGCTATTTTAATGAATGGCATTAATTACGCTTAATAATTGAATTTGCTAAAAATGCTGGAAAATAATTAGCCATAAAATAATAGACTAGATTAACAAACAAAAGTAATTTATTTAGTGTAAAGCTGATTAAGATGAGTATTGAATTAAGGATTTAAGTAACATTAATTCAGATATTTTATGTTTAACACCTTTAAATATCTCATAATCATTCTACCATGACATCGTTTATTATTATGTCACTTAACTACAATACTCTTCTTTACGTCGTGAATAATTCAGTTCCCAACATACAACTGCTCAAATGCATTCATAAAACTTGCGACCGCTTGTTCCACTTAAAGGCATTAGCATAGTTATGGAGCTGGATAAACAGACAGACGTGTAGTTATTTTATATGAGGGACGGATGTCGACATCCGTCATTCGCGCGTGTTGATTGTGCGGGCCAACTGGAGCGGAGTGGATTACTATTGCTGACATTCGCTGTGACACTCTGATACCAGACACTGGTGACGTACGTAACGCCCACTATGTACAGTGGACTCCTATATTGGTTAAATTCGTTGCGGGGACTATTTCAACCTTCACTAGTTTAGTAATGCAACCCGCATTGGAGATCAAGCTGTAGATCCTGGATAGGATAGGATAAGTCCCGTTTGGGTACACATTTTAGGCGTTAGGTTACCGTTCAATTCTGGTTCAGTGTGTCTCTACATGACATGATGAATTAACTGACTCAACAAACTTTGTAATTGAAAATTACAATATCGTGTCAACGTTTTTAATGAATGTCGTATAAACATAAGTTATAAAGCAGGATTTAAACTGTCTGTCGCTTTCACTCGATTCACTAAATTTCACTAAAGTCTTTTCACTCAATCCATCATAAGTTATCCAATTAGGAAATTTTCTATGCCTCAGTCAAACACAATCTGTACGCAGACCAATTATTTATTTCCTTGTTTACTGTAACTTTTCTAAAGATCGTAATCATGATTATCATGTTTGTTTTCATACCTCTCATCTACTCGATGTACTTCAAAAGTGTTTTCGCGCGTACATCATCGCACTTAATTTTACGGCTTTGCATAGAAAATAGGAACATCTGGACCACATCAATAGCTTATAATATAAACTTATGGACATTGCGTTGAAAATTTTCCTTTAAACTCGTTCCAATTCTGAGAATTGATAAATACTGTAGTTTAACAGACATAATAGTAGACTGGGGCTATAATTACGGGTCTATTTTAGCTGATCCATTCATGTGTGCAGTTTTAAGCATACTAGAATCAAATACAGAAGGCTTCCTTATTTCTGTGATTTACTTCGGAGATTGTGCTACGATTCGAAGAAAATATTATGTAAATGTAATGTATTTTAATGTGGTTCGTTGTAAACAAATCATGTTTAAAACATGAGTTGGGTTTGCAAAGCTTACTGCGTAATATTAAGTAATATATTATGTAGGCTCATATTATGAAAAGACCATCAAAGCTAGTATCAATCTCAAGCATATAGAGAGATTTGAGAGTTTGATTTAAACTTTGAGTTTTATTTCACTAATTATAGGCATAGCGATGAAAAATAACTACGGAAAAGACGCTGTACGAGTATGTGGACTGTGGAGTAGAGTTCCTTCGAAAAAAATACAACCTAATAGAGTTTCCTTTGAAGAAATGTGCTAAATCTAAATAAAGAAACTAAATAATGGGCTAGATTATATTTAGTTCGAATTTGATTCGATTTAAACGGATGCATCCACAAAAATCATAAAATTTACCATTATGAGTCTTTAAGTAACTTAATTACTAAGTAGAGTGTAAAACTATCGTGTAATTTCCTTTCCTTACTCATATTTTGTTAGGTTATTTTGCAACAAACAATTACTTCAATTTTCTGTCGGACTGTATGCCTTTATTGCTATGGTGCAGTTGTCCCGATAAACTCGCAAAAAACGCGTTGACTTGCTAATGAGTTTTGCAGGCTGTAATTTCAATTAATACCATCATTGTCGTGTTTATAGGATATTTTTACTTATGGGGCCGCGAATTAAATTAAAATACATTATCGTGTCGCGAACGGATGCTTGCCTGTGGCCTGTGGGGTAAAAGATTAAATATATTCGAATCTAGCCTACACCTTGAAAAATATAGCGTAGGACGTCTTCTTGCTAGATGAACCGATGATCTCGAGAAGATATCTAGTAGTAGCAGGATGAATTATGATCTTAATATAAATATGATCGTATCTGTAAGGACAGATAAATACAATATTAAAACGAAAGTACGGACTCTAAGTCTCAATAAATTCAAGTTGGCATTGATAGAGACCGCAACAGCTGCTTTACATCCAATGTTATAAACAAACCTTTCGAAATTATGTGCATTCAGATACAACTTCGTAGTAAACTGCATAATTTTAAATAACGTGGAAATTTTCAGCATTTCTAGGGTTCCGTGCTTATTTGGCAAACGGAATTCTTATAACATTTTCTTCAGATTGTTTGTCCCGGAAAACTTTCCTATAAACTTGAAAGGAAAAATGTGCTTTAATTGGTGACCCAAAAAAACTAAGAGACGGACGGACTGATATGAAAATGTATGAACCATTTTGCTTTGCACCTGCTCAGTTTTTGAGTCAGATTTTCCATTGTGTTCTTTTACGCACAACAACTATTACTTGGAAATTGGGTAAGCCCTCCAAACTGAATAGGTATTTGAATTTCCTCGTACAATGGCGTGTATCACTTATAAAATATTGTACATCATTAAGATGATAATGTAGTAGTGTGTATTGAAAGCTAAAATGGTATACTTCTTAATAATTTATTGGTCAACATTTTGTATACAGGGTGGAAACGATAAGTGATCTCACTCGTTACTACTAGTTTTTGGATATTTTGTATAGTTTAGAAATAATCGAGTGAGATCACTTATCGTTTCCACCCTGTATAGGTACTTAGTTCTCAAATATTAATGAATAGTAAAAGCTATGCTATACCTATTTTAAGCTAAATAGGTGTGATTAGTGGCGCTATTTTTGAACACAATGAAATGAAACATCGATTATTCGTGTCACACACATCTCAACATGTCGACTAACGAGATCGTTTCACATGTGATTTATGTCACGCGAAGACGTCACCGAAGCGAGATGAATGTTACATTGTCAGTCGCACGCGCATGTAAATTCGTCAAATC